AATGCTGCTTGGATTTCAGGTGAAATTGTTTAAATACTTATAATAAATTTTTTTTGTTGTGTTAATTTATTAAGGATATATTTTAATCTTTTTGTTATTATTTTTAATATTTTAATACTAAAACGTTGTAATTTTTTTTATCCCTGTTACTAATTTTAATATATCAGAATTTGATTAATGTAAATACAAGTCAACACAAATTTAAAGGAGAGATGAGAGAGGGTCGTAGAGAGAGAAGACCTTTTTTTCCTTTCAACCCAAGCCACCAGTTTTCGACGAAGGGCCCCCTTTCGCCGGAGACTGGTGACCAACCTGAGTGGCTACTAGTGAGGGAGAGATCATACCATAACTTCAAGCTGTACCCCCAGAAAAGAGTTCACACGGGTGCAGGATATGAGGGTAGAAGAGATGGGATGATTCAGAGGAAGGTGGGGTGGTTAAAAAGGGACAGAGGAGGATTGGGCAAAGGATTACTAAAGCACACCACTTCGTTTTTCATCGCAAATTTCCCAGAGGAATGGAGGTAGGAGGATATGTGGAAAGAATTCAAGAAATATGGTAGAGTTATACAGATCTATATAGCAAATAAGAAGGACAAATGGGGTAGAAAATTTGGGTTTGTTAGATACTTGGACATCAAAAACCCAAGAGAGATGGAGTTAAACCTGTGCAAAATAAAAGTGGGTGACAGGAGTCTCCAAGCAAATCTAGCAATGTATAATGAGGAAAATGGTGAACTAGGAATGAAGAAAAGGGAGAGCAAGTCTAATGCAGGCCCGTCCAAGCGAGTGGAAGCCACCGTTGGAACAAAATCGTATGCTGACGTAGTAAGGAGTAATGAGGGGTTGTCAAAAGAAAAAGGAGTACAGGGGAAGAGATGGACTCCAAAGAAGAACAGTAGATGGAATGAAGAGATGGGGGAGCCGGTAGAGATATGGGAGTGCCAACCAAGTGCAGAAAATGAAGAATGGTTGAAGAACTGTTTTGTTGGGCAGATCCAAAGGATAGAAATGATTACAGAGCTTAAAGACAAAATTATGATTGAAGGATTCTTCTCAATAAACATCACTCCAATGGGGGGAAACTTGGTGTTAATGCACAGTGAGGTTGAAGGGGAGATAACGAAGCTTGTCAAAGAGGGCAGTGGGTGGATAGGAGAATGGCTCAGTGATATAAGACCTTGGAGCCTAAAGGAGGTGGCAAAAGAAAGATACACATGGCTCCAGTGCTACAGCATTCCTTTGAATGTATGGAATGAAGAGTTTTTTATAAAGTTCGGGAACCGGTATGGGAAAGCTGTTGAGGTTGATCAACTTACAACTCTCAAGAAAAGGCTGGATGTAGGTAGAGTCCGTATATCAACAACTACACCGGAAAATATCTCAAAGTCATTGAAGATCAAAGTGAACGAAGTGTTGTTTCAAGTGAGAATTTGTGAAGAAACAGGGAGGGAGAATGTCTATAGTCCATATATGTCATTAGAGGAGGAGGGAGAGTCCTCGGAGGCACTATGGGTGGAGGAATCATCTCTAGGTGAAAGTGACTCAGAATGGGAAGATAGGGAGCTCATAGAGGATTCCCTGCAATTTTCAACGAGGAAGGCAAGAATGGAGGGGGACAATCAGCCGGTAGAGGAAGGAGGATGCACACCGGCGGGAAATTTTGAATCACCATTGGAGGAAGCCAGAAAGGCAAAAGTGATAGATGGGACAGATGGGGAAGCTGGGTCAGATGGAGAAGCAAAGACAGCTGGCAGCTGCCATACTAGGAAGGAGTATTCTTGCTCTAACGGCTACATTGAAGAGGTTGAGTCTCCAAGGGAGCAGTCGACTAATGAGGAAAAAAAAGATATACAGTCTGATGCTGAAAGGGCCAGCATCAAGGCACCTCATCGGGCCCATATCGGGCCTTCTCAAGCAAACGACAGACAAGAGGAAAAAGGACCAAGAAATTAGTCCAGCCCAAATGAGTCTTCAAATAGGAAACGGGACACAGTGGACAGCACTTATTTAAAAGGTCCAAAGGAACAATCCAGAATCTCGGTGGGAGCAAAGGAGCAAAAAGCAAACAGAAACACAAAAGAAAGTGAATCAGATGAAGTGGAGAGAAACGAAGATGCTAGAGATGATGCGATTAAGTTCTGGGAAGGGCTAGCAAGTGAGGAAGAGTTAGCACAGCTGAGAAAAAAAGGAAAACAGCAGAGAAAGTTGAGGAAGAGCAAAGGAGATCAAAAAAAGAAAGAAGAAAGAAAGAAGAAACAAGTAGCGGCAGGGGGCATGGAAGTGAGTATAGAAAAATCCAAAGAAAGAGATGATCAAACGGAGAACACAACTGAAGTTTCACAAAAAGGGATCTCCATTTCAGTGAGTGACATCAACAATTGTAATAGGAGGTTTATGTTGAGATCGTGGGAAGAAGAGGCAAGTGAACTATGGGCAGTGGGAAAAAAATTGGGTTTGGTTAGAAGGGGTAACAAGGAGGAAATAATCAAAAGATTGGGGGAAATGGAGAAGAGGGATAGATTGGCTCTAGCAGAAAAGAATCGGAAGGCTGGAGTAGATAGGGAGGGGCAGGAATTACTTAGATGAAGGTCCTTTCTTATAATGTGAGGGGGTTATGAGGAAGGGGGAAGAAGAGAGAAATAAGGGAGATGGTAGCAAAGGAGAAATTTGATGTGGTGTTCATACAAGAAACCAAGATGGACTCAATTGACGTTAGGACGAGCAGAGCAATCTGGGGAGTAGGGGATGTTGACTGGGTGATGAAACCGACAATAGGTAATTCAGGGGGTATAATGTGCTTTTGGAACCAAACTAGTCTCAAAGCCTACAACAAGTTTGAAGGTCACGGATTTTGTGGGGTTGAAGGTCAGTGGGGGAGCGAAGAGGTACCTTGTTTATTTAGTAATGTATATGCACCATGTGACAAGCACGAAAGAAGACGAGTATGGGCGGAATTGCAGGTTATGCTGAGCAATTACAGTGACAGATGGTGGTGTATTGGAGGGGATTTTAATGCTATAAGAAGTGTAGAAGAGAAACAGGGGAAATATATTGATCTAGGCAGTATGGATGATTTTAATGATTTTATTTCAAGCAATGAGCTGGTAGATTTACCAATGAGAGGCAGGAAGTATACATGGTATAGGAGTGATGGCCAGGCTACGAGCAGACTAGACA